TTTACTTAAAATATAATTAAAATTAATGTTTTCTTTTATTATTTTATTGAAATACAAATTTTAGTGGCGTTCATAATTTAATAACAATAAAATCGGTCATGTATAAGCAAAGAAAAGTTCTATTGTGTTTAACTCATTAAACGTAATAAATTAGAGATAACATAGTATAGTTTATTTGCACTTATTAAAATCAAACTCGATCAAAACAAAAAACAAAAATTGACAAAATGGAGAAGTTTTTTAAAAAGTTCAATTTTACCCCAAATTAGTATGTTACCCATTTTAGTATGTTATTGTTGTAAAGGACTATCGAATAAGGAGAAAAACCTTTGATCCTCTGAGTGATGTTTTTATACAGGGTATATTAAATTTTGCAGGAAGTTTGTAACGTCCAAAAGGAAAGGTCTGAGACCTACGATTTTCGAAAATAGTTCAAATAACCTGAAAAGCGATTATTAAAATTCTCCAGTTTGTAACCGTTGGCAAAAAAAACCTAAAACTAGGCTAGATAGATATACGGTTATAAAGTATGCTATATATATAAATGATCAGGATGACGAGAAAAGTTGAAACCCGATGACTGCCCTTCCGTCTGTCCGTCCCACAGTTGTAACTTGAGTAAAAATTGCGATTGAAGTAGCAAGGGGCATATGTGTGCAAAATTTTTTGGAAAAGTATTCATGGTCCCGCTCTTTAGTAAGTTTAATGTACATATCTCCTAAACGGTTAAAGCTCCGACCAAGAAATTCGCTCAGAGTAAATATTATAAAAAACTCCTACCGATAATGTGAAAATGGACAATAACCCGGCTCACTTCTCATGTAACGGTACTGTTAAGAACTACCAAAAGGCCGATAAATGAAAAACTAAATGAGCCAGAGACATAACATTTTACCGCTGAAATGGTATGAAAGGATTTAATTAAGTCTGTATCAAAATTGCAAAATGGACGTGCCACCGACCACTTTTAGCTGAAATCACATACATATCTGGGGACTTGACTGACCAATTTCCACCAAATTTAGTACGTGACATTTCTCCGACGTTCTTATTTTACAATGTGAAAAGGGTGAAATCGGGCTACCGCCACGCCTACTTTCCATGTAACATATTTTATTTTTAACAATTTTAAATTCAACTTGATTCTTTCATATTCTTTCTTTCTGTTATATATTATTATTATTATTTATATCCATTTGTTGAGCTTCACCACGCTTGGACCATGACCTCTTTCGCAGCACATTATTGTCGTATTTGTCGTATTTGATTCACCTTTCGCTTCCTGTTACCATTCGCTTCAGAAATGGTTCGATTTCATTTCGTTTCAGCAAAGTATCGCATATGTTAATTCGGCCTATTAATTTTTTCACAGACAATTCATTTGGTACACAAACATCGAGCTTATTTTTGTTGCCAGCCTTTTTTAATAGTTCAAAACCATTTGTTGATGAATGTTAGGTTTCTTAGCTTAGTTCCTTATTAATACAAAAATTTGAAAATTTGCGATTTTTCAAGATTTTCACTCAACAACAACAACTGGAACAACTGTCACTTTTTTCAATTTCCCCGAAATTAATTTTTGGTTAAATTAAGCTTAAACTCTTACCTTTTCAGCAATATATGGTATGGCATGATTAGGTTGATAGCACTGGAGATATACGACTGCAACGACATTTATTAACGAAATACGAAAGTCTTTTCGACTACCCAATATATGCCGGCAAGTGCTGCAATGCCATCCTATATTTTTTCCCCCAAGTAAAGTATAATTAAAAAAACAAAAAAAAAATCAAAGTATCTTTTGAAAGTGAAGCCATTTAATTTGTCCTTCTCTGAAGTCTTAACTTTTTCGTTATTGACATATCATAATTGCTTTTTATTCCGTTTAATTAGCATATCCGATTATTTTAACCGTACTCCGTTTTTTTAATTCCAGTTAAGATCCTTCTTTAAATTTTACCCATTTTATTTCGTATATATCTATTTTAAGACATCACACATCACTTTCAACTTAATGGTTTACCCAATTATTGTACAAACTTCCGCCCGTCCATATTTGTATTCGTTAAACGAAGAAAACGCGTACAAAGCGACAAAGTTGTGGCGACAATCAGATGCGAAATTAATTTGCGGCCATTTCTGACGCTCACTAATGACCAATCAGACCGGATATAAAAGCGTGTAACAAAAACAAAAACGCGCAATTGTCGAAAACGCAATTATGTCAAACAAATAATCAGCTTGTGCACACGCACGCATACACACACACACACAAATTGCCAGCAACAGGTGTTTGCAACAAATGTCAATTAAAATTCACACGCTCGTCGCTTTTGTGCGACATTTGACACACACACTAATTTTGTATAGCGGCAGTATGTACGCGCACACATATGTATGGATATACGTATATGTATTTGTGTACAGGTTTCCTAATGCGGCTAACGCTAATAGACATTTATAAAATAGATTTTCTCGTTTGGGCGAAAACAATTTGCTGCGCTAAATAAAAACGTATATACGTATGTGTTTGTGTAGGTGGGTATATATGTATGTGTGTCAGTGTGTTTTCTACCACTCTGACGCCTAAATTGCTAACGAATTGTGTGCGCTACTAACGCACGCCATTTGTGGTTGCCTGCTTTTGATATCGCCATAGTGAACACCCACAACCTACCAGCGTCCCTAAAACACCCACTAGTGACCCAACTGCCCTCTATCATCGCTAGTGCTCCCCGCAGATGCCATTGTATTGCTTTTATGCTATTTGCAAGTGTTTTCTTTTATTTTCGTAATTTTGCGCTGCCTCTGTCCATGCTTCGCCATTGTGCTTTGTCGGTGCGAAATTGTGTGACCTGCTGTGCTGGAGAGGTTTTCAATTTCACTGCCAAAGCGGATGGGCGCAAATACTTTAATACAATTTTGTCAATGGCCAAACAACCAATTAGCGAAAATGTCCAACATAGTCTACGGAAAAATACACAATTACGTATGATAATAGAAGGCGTTCTAAATAACAACAACAACAACACCATTTACAACAACAGCGCTATATTAAAATGTTGAGAAAATAACAATGAGTGGTAAAATCAACAAGCGTCGCTGAACGGTGCGCCACTGCGTATGAGTGCTCACAAGTGCGTATGTGTGTTCGCAAATGCGTTTGTGTGTGTCACTATTTGTAGTGGTGTTAATGCGCGTCGCTGTGGCTGCGCGAAAGCAAGCACAAACACACACACCTTCAAATCAAACGTTGACCAACGCCGCCTGCACATGCGGTTTGCCCCAACAAAATTTTGATTGTCCAGCCGCCAATATATTTGTACCGACCGAACACTGTGTCACTTCCGCCAACGCCGCTTTGCGTTCGCTGTCGAGAGTTGGCTGTTTTGTGCGGCTAATTGAAATGTTTGAGTGACATACGGTAATGAGTGGACTGCAGGCGGTGCGCCGACACACATTCATACACACACAACCAAATACCTATACTAACTATATATATATGTATATACGCAAGACCTCCCGTCGTCCATGCATTTGTCTTTCGAATAGCTGGCAAATTATTGTATACTTGCAACAGCTGTTGCTGATGCTCTTAAGCGTCACCAACAACATAATGTTGTTCATGTTATTTATTCACTTTTGTCACACAAAATACTAGTTTAGTTGCAGTGGAATATAAATAGTAATGAAAGAAGGTCATGATGGGCTAAAAATTACCAATTACTTACTTTCTGTTGAAAGTTTGGTTAGGCTTAAGATTATTTCTTGTGAAAGTCAATATTTGTTTTCACTTATCAATCAAAGGTGGTCCACGATGGTGGAAGTTTTTAGTTCTGTTCTTGACGATAATATCCACCCTGCAAAAGCTGCTATTAGAAATAACCACGTGAATCTGAGAAATCGGAGAATAAAGAAAAAATGAAGGTAAATTCATTCGGCTTGTAGAAAAATGAAATTGTAAAAATCTATTTTAGTT